TTTCGTGCAAAAACCTTCGTTTAGACTGAGTTGCGTGTAGCCTTTGCCTGTCAAGTGTTCGGTGTTTTTAATCAAAGGTACGTTCCTTTACCAAAATCACTGTTTTTTTCCCCTAAATTATATTTTACAAGATGTCGGCCTTTGAGATACTCTTTTTAAGTCACAAGACAGTCCTCGAACATCAAATTTATTGGCAAAAAGATCTCTCGTCAAATTAACTTAAGGTTCGGACCATACGCCATATCAGTTTAGTATGACAATATTTTTGATTGATTGATAATGTTTTGACACATTTTTTTTTTTTTTGATGACTATTAAATTTCAGTTAAGTTTAAATTTGCATTATCAGTCAAAGCGGTTGACACTCATAACTGACAGCATATTCCATTGACTGTCAATCATAAGTTATCTAATAATTATTGTCGTACCACGTTGGAAATTAAATGGCGGTTGACATTTATCATTGAACAATGTCAATTGTCAATGTTCAGAAGACCAGAATGTCCAGGTGACCTCCAAAGAACTATACGCTTATGTACATACAATATGGAAAGCTGTATGGCATTTCCCAGTGAATGTAACGTTCGACGTCCGCTCGTTTTAGTGACAATATAAAAGAACCTTTAAGACCGCCGATGGATTTTTATTGCGATCGGTTGGACGAACGAAAAACGTTTAAAAGAGTTCGAATTCAATGTGGAATTCCACTCGGTGACGTTTTATGGGAATTTACGAACCTAGAAAAATGCAATATACGTTTAGTCGACGTAGTTGTACACCCAATGATAATTTTACAAACTCAGTATTATATTACCCAAACGAACAGAGCCGGTCCTCTCTTTTGCCAATACCGAAATTCACTATCTAATTAACGGGGGAAAAACGTTTGAATCGAGTTTCGCTTGGCAAATACCATTATATAAATGGTTTGTTTATTGTTAAAGTGGTGTAACTGCAAATGTTTTAAATATACCTATATTCGCCCAATGGAGTCAAATTGTTATTTGTAAAACAGAAGCAACTCCAATAAATGCAAAAATATATCACAAGGAGATAGTTTACAAGTATATCTTGCAGTCCGGCTTTAGCCTAAGAAATATAAAAACCACTGCAAATGCGTTTTTATTATCGCCCGTCTCGTTCAACCGTTTTTATGGAGTTTTCAACGACACACATCTGTGCAAGTACAGTGTACTTAGTACACACATACCTCTGTCCGTTCGGAACGCCGCGCTTGAAAGTTTAAAAATGTAGTGCATTGAACGAAAAAAAAAAGTTTACTCTCACTAGAAAACCGATTGAACGAATGGACATAAAAATAACAATGCAACATTTTCGAAAAACAAAAAAAAGCCCAACCGACAATTGAACGCGTGACGAGCAAACCACTTTATTAAAAATCGTCGTATCGTTTGTAATTTATGCATGTATTATTGTTTAGTCGAAGTCACTTTGTTGTTTTTAATGAAAAACTCTAAAAACGATTGAGATCAGATTGAAAGAGTTTCAAAATAAGGATGCTCGAGACGGGTTCTGTATGAAAATATATTATATTCTAACTTCCAATTAATTTCAGGCATTCGATTAATCAGTTTTGAAAATGGATCGTCTTTAAGCCTTTTTAATTATAACCAAGATTCAGTCAAGTGTTTATTATCAAATATTTAACTACGTAGCTTATTTTCTTATACAGGGTGATCTATTTGAAGTAAGCCATTCATTAACCATGAAAATAATTACAATTTGGTAGTTGTTCCATTTGCAAACGTTTTAGTTAATGTATAATCATTATAACAAGTTAAATGGTGGAGTAAATATTTTATTAACATTTTAAATTGCCAATAATTTACGAAAAACGATAACTGAATAAGTGATTATTCATAACTTGTTATCGACCAGTCAAAGTGTTTGGCGAATTATTCTTAAGATAATATTAAAAAGGTAAATATTTAGTAATTTTAAAATATTGTAAAATAATATAAACAAAGCTTTTTTCTTAAAAAATAAAATTCAAAATTTCAATTATTTTAAGAGATCTTACTTTTTACATTGGACAACCCTGTAGTATAAGATCCTGCTTAATAAGCAAAACGCAATACTACATCATTAAAAAAAATGTTCTTATCAAAAATTATTTGTAGTACACTTATAAATGCTTATAAAATGTTGGTACTATTTTTAAAGAAAAACATACGGCAACATTCGACGCAGTTGTTATTTTACTGTATATTAAAACAAAACAAAAAATAAATAATTGGAAATTAAAAGTATTATTTCATAATTTAGTTCCATAAGTACCTGAACTTATTTTGTTATCGTGGTTTTACACTTTTAAAACACTATAGTAAATTAGTTTCAGTCCCTTCAAGGCGGTCAAAATAAATATCTACTTAGCATTTACACATTAAAACTGCTTAACACTTGCACAGTTTTAGCTTTTAGTAATTTGGTCGTATAACCTGAATCATTTCCTCCAAAATATGACTAAAACCTTAAAAAAAATTATACAGCTAATGTTTAAGTTTCAAGTATTGACGCACCAAGATTATTTGATAAATAATTTTGTTCACTTTTTTTTTAAAAAAATGTTGGCTATACATTTGTCCTAAAACTGCACCTAAATATAAAAAAAAACCGCTAAAAAGCTTATTTCATCCCTTACGACAAAAATATAAACGCAGGTCCTTGAGTTTAATATGACTGCTTTAAGTATAGTATATTAATACAACTTGTATTATACATTTTACCTAAAATTTCTGTGTTGTACAAAGCCAACGTTACAATATTCTCTTCCATTTAATACATTATTTTACAATATGACAAATACCAGTTAGAATCTTACCAGTTAAATTATTGAATTTATTATTCATTCCTATTTTGACCATTGTGAATACCACATGTATGCCCCCTATTCCCACTCCAACCACAACCCTCGTCTCTTACCCTTTATCTCTCACCCTCTATCTCTCACCCCTAACTCTCATCCCTATCTATAACACACTAACTCTCACGCCTATCTATTACCCCCTAACTCTCACCCCCTTCCCTTATCTCTTATCAGATAAATCATCTGATAAGAGATCTGTTTTTTTCGTTATGATAACCGGTGTCGTTATGATAAGCGGTGTCGGTGTCGATATTCCGTGTGTGTGCCATAGCATAGACATAAAAATGTCAAAAACAAAAACGTTGTGTGGTCCTAGTCGAAGATCTATCTTATCTCTTCACTTGGGCTAAAAATCTAGAAATCTGATTTTAATATGATTGTTTTAAGTATGATATGTTAATACAACTTGTATTATACATTTTACCTAAAATTTCTGTGTTGTACAAAGCCAACGTTACAATATTTTTTTACATTTAATACATTATGACAAATACCAAATAGAATCTTCCTATTTTACCTATACAAGGTTAACCTTTACAAGTATTTGACAAAAAAAGAATGTCCATAGTTTTACATTACATTTTTTAGGATTAAAGTTATTATAAAATACCGACTCTCAAAATCTACAAAAATAATACCATATGATATGTTTACCGAAAATAAGTTGTTTTTTGAAACGTTTTCTGTTTTGGTAATAAAACAAAAATACTAAGTACATGTTAAAATGGAATACGCATTCAAAATCAATAAATCTTGGGACCGGGGAAGGGTAATAATCACTCAGCATGAAAATAAAATAAGGGCCCATCTATTGAAGAATTTTTTTTAACTATAAACTGGATCGTTACGAGTAAGACTAACATCTACGATTATTGTAGGAAATCCAATAAAATGGAGATACCTGCGCTGAACCGATCTTACCGACATTCTTCTACATCCATAAAAGTAGAAATTACAATCTAATTCAAAATGTATATTATTCTAAAACTATACGAATATACAAATCTTTAAAAATAATATATATATATAATTATTGAAATATCTATACAATATGAGCATAAAATACAACAGTAATTTAAAGGAAAAGTAAGAGCTTTAATTAAAGTAATTTTTAACTATGTTTTCGTTACCATTTAATAAATTATCGCTCAATTTTTTTAGTACCTTTAAAGATAACCCAACAAGTAAAATTATGGATTTATTTATATATAATTTCAATTGTTATTTTTTAAACTTTACTTTCCTGGTAAAAACATAACATACCACGTTACCTGGGGACGGACAGAGATGACACTGAACGGGCTGCTCAAGGTGTTTTCATGGGTACATTCAACAAGTATGACTTAATAATAAAACGATTATTTTTTATGAAAATACTTATTTGAATTTGTATTTCAATAAATAATTAATATTGTATTTAAATTCGAATTTCATATACAATTTATTATTTAAACAATACCCTTGTTCAATCAGTGAACGATTTTAACATATTCTAATGGAATACCCAAAAAGATGGTTATATTAATAACAACTTAAATTTATTTGGTGTTCATAAATATTTGTCTACTTTAATCAAGTATCGTTCTAAAATATGTAGATTAAAAATCGCAAAGACACTTTTTAATGTATGTATATACTATATATAGCTTAAATTTATTAACTGATTTTTTCGAGTAACACATGTTTTGATAACATAATCACTAATTGTCAGTACTTTTAAGAGATCGGAAGTTTAAAATTATATTTCACCTTACTCTTAAAATAAAAAAAAATGTTACTTTTTTCAACTTTCAACTTTGATACTCATTAACTATGTGTCTAACAATAGCATCAAATCCAAAATTCAACAAAACATCAGTACCACCTAGAAGGGGGGGTGGTATTTGGTCTTATATATTATAGCTGCAGTTTAGGAGCTTAAAAGCTAGAAATTGTTTTCAGAAGATCTTAAGTATATCTTAAAACATCAATTTAAAAAAAAAAATCATGAGGATAAACTTTATTTATTGCGGAAAGACTATTTATTTTATTAAAATTGTGTAAGCCTTAAAAATAACATTGAATTATTATTATATTGTATTACAGTTCTATTAAACTTACTCATATGTAACGAGTCATAATTTGTTTTAACTATAGTATACAACATAATGAAACATTTAAATAATTACTCAAACGCTTACATTTTCAAAAACAATATGATCTTAACATTAGCATTGAATTCTTCTTGTAAACTCATTATTTATTCCGTAATATTTCGAGTGTCTCTCTTAATGGTTCCACCAAATCTAAATTTGTTATGATTGTCTCAAACAATGGAAGTTGTATGTTATCTAAAAATTAAACGGATAAACTTTAAGAATATAGACAGCAGATGTAAATTAGGAAATAAAAATAATATATATATATATATATATATATATATATATATATATATATATATATATATATATATGATTCAAGATTATACAGAAAAATATTTTTTTTTTTAAGTTTCCATCAAAGCTATGTAAAATGTTAAAACATTTAAATTTGTGTAGAATAATAGGTATATAAAAAAATATGTTGCTTCTTCTTAATTATAATTTGAAATTTTTCTATGGCTCACTCTTATTATTCAAAGTAATTATTTGTTATTTTGAACTACAAGTACAAGTCTTAGGTCATACCCGAATGCTGCAACATTAATGCTAATATATATGATACACGTTTCAAAGAAAATTAAGTGTTTACAATAAATTTAAGTTACGGTAGATATGACATTTGTATTTTTCCAATCATATAATAGTTATATTTCACACAGTTTTCCTAATATTCTAAATAGTTCCCCTGGTTCACTTCGAAATTGAGTAAAATATCTAAAAATGTAATTCATGTTTAAAATTAAACTTACTGCGCGCTATGACTTTTTTTTAAAATAATCGAATTAGTTCCAAATTTGTATGGAATATTCTCTAGATCAAGTCAAATTTTTTAAAAATCTAAACAAACTCTTGTGACTACTTTTAACGTTGATGCCGAAATAATTGAAAAAGTTTGTCATTTTTTTGCTAATATTTTATTTTTTATTTTTTCAATAAATGTTTTAATTGTGCAACCACTATGTATAATAAAGATTTCTTAAAAAATGATTAGCTATACATAATAGTTCTCATTAAAAAAAATTACGGTAACATAAAATTTCGATCACTGCCAAACAGCATACGAAAATTTAAGTTCCCATTGTGTTCCGATGACGATGGGAACTGGAAACTTATATTTTTCTTTTTGTGTTGTTTACTTGGATCTATTTAGTAGGGGGATTATTATGTTATCGAAAAATATAAAGTACTATATAGTAAAATTTAATAAATTTAAGAATAATTATTCAATGTCATTTATTGATCAGTAAAAACTATTATCAAATTACTCATATTTTACAAAGTTATTAAAAAAAAAACCTTTATATCGTTTAATAGTTACCTCGTTGTTGTTTTGTAAAGTTGTTGTTATTGAAAAAATCGTGTACTTTTTGTGAATGCAAAGGAGTCACGAAATGCGCCAAATTTTCCTCTGTAAGGCCATTGCCCTCAGCAACTTTATACGATTTTTTTGCTTTTTCGAATCCTTGTTTGAAAACCTGTAACAATTATTTTTATTAAAAAATATTGTAATTGCAGATATTATGCCAACTACCCATAATTAGTATATGCTTAAATGTTTTACAAAACTTTTTTATGGTAACCGAAATTAAAAATTGTACAAAATATATCTAAACATTTTTTTTATTGTGTGTTACGTTACGCAAAAGAAACTTAATCCATTGTCAAACACTTAGACAAAGCTTATGTAAAATTATGCCCAATCGGCTATAATATGTCCATAGAAAAAAATTACTGTAAACCATAACTTGATCATATGTAATCTATTGAATGTTTGACAAAATACTTTAGTTTTCGAATAATAATAGTCTAAAAATATTATTAAATATTACTTGGTCATCAGATGGTGGTTGGGTGCATTCAGCATTTAGCATAAAAGAAATGAACAAAATAGACAATATGAAGTGCATTGTAATTTGTAACCTTCCGCCAGTTTCTAGTTGTACAAAAGAACTGAAAAAAAATATCGAAAAACATTCAATAAGTGTATCTTTTAAGAACATATTTATAAGGAATTTTCAATCTGAGGCATCAATTCAAATGCATATTTAAACAGTTATGAAAATAAATGTATATTATAATATTTATTTTATATGAATTATACAAACATTTAAACGGCAAAGCGCACATATTATGCCTAGTAGTTTGTGATACCTATAGAAACTTACCATTTGTTTACATTACAACAGTCGCTGTAAAATCAGCTTGGTTTTGATAAAAAAACAATAATACAATAATGGATTACAATTTACATGATTAATGATTTTAATGATTTTACAAAAACTCTTTGAAATAAGTTTTAATTATAAAACATACTAGATTTAGGAATGCATTACATAAACTGTATGTAACTATAAAAAAAAAGGTACTCGCCATAGTTATTATAACAATAACGTTTTAATATGCATTCAAACACAAGCATCGGAAATAAATTTGTTACAAAGAAAACTCGTTTTTTTCATTCGTATACACTGTCTCAATCGAAGTTGATAACAATTTACCTTCAATTAAAAAAAACTACAATAAAACTATTGGATTTTTTTTGTGAAAATTGACAATTCTTATTATGTTAAAACATAAAAGATACCAAGTCAACTTAATATGCTCTAACAAATGTACCTCTAGACTCTGTACGGTGAATGCAAAAGACGTTTTAATAGAAAATTTAAATTTACAATAAAAATAAAGTATATTATTTTATTTAAGTATAAAAGTATTTTGTTTTATCTTTTTTGTTCCTAAATGTTTGTACTATTATTTTCTCGCATTTTAGAACCCTGATGTTACAACAATTAAAACCACTTTTTCTTAAACTTCTTGAAAAAATAAACAAAAAATTACAAATAAAATCTTAAAAATTTCTAATCACAATAGTGTAGTCCAAAAAAACCAAAGCAACAAATCTAAAATAAAACATCTCCCAGTTGTACTTTAAAATTAATTAAAATTGATATTTTGCCCATTATTAGATGAAACTATAAGTGATGGGAATTGTTCTAATATCAATAATGATTATCAATTTTTATAGCCAGTACAGTGTGGTCGGGGCATAGTGGGGACGGAGCATGGTGAGGTAATTTTAGGTGTATTTGTTAAAAAATACGAAATTTGGAAAAAATACAGTTTTCCGGCAATTAAAGAAAAATTGTAGTCCTGAATTTTTTCTTTGTTCAATATGTTATGGATACATTATGAGTTCTAATAACAAATATTCAACTTAAAGAATACTTTTTACAATGGCTGCTGCACTGTACACATATGACAAATATTTTAAAACATCTTTATTATACTTTTTTGTTAATACTTCTTATGAAATTCGGTATGGTATACGCTATTAGGTATGTATGTCAGAATAGAGTACTACCACATAAACACATTTCTAAAGAATTTTGAAATTATCCACAAAAGTATACATTAACATCAATAATGTAATAAAAAACTATAAAAAGTGATTTGTGTGTGAAGGGGTGAAATAAGTAATTAAAATAGACATTTTGATTCTTTTAATTTTAGTTCAAACTACAGTTTACACATAAGCTAACGATAAACTTATTATTACTATTTGAACATAAAAAAAATGTGTTAACTAGAAAAAATATATATGTAGGTAACAAGACTTTTTTTTTTTAAGTAACGGGTTTGGTATTTATAAAATCACATAATTTTGTAATTTAAATTATATTGTAGAACACGTTTAATAAGTTAAAAGAGAACCCCTGAAACTCAAATTATGGTTATATTTTTAAAAAAAAATAAAATTTTTATAATATTATTTTTAAGTAATTCCCCCCCCTGAATAGAATTTGCTACATAAAGAGCTTTTAAGATTGAAACCAAATTGTATGGCGTATTCGAATATTTCACAATGTCTGTTGCAATGTCAACATGACATTGTCAAAATGACTAATGTCTGTTGGTATCATAGAAATTCAACTTTACTATTGCTCATTTGCAAAAACATGTTGTTTCCATATTTCGTTTTGTCGTTTGTGTATTTAAGTGTTTGGAATTGTTTTTCTGAAATTACTACAGCAATGTAAACGAATGACAAATCTTTAAAATTTAACAAATTAAACAGTGTTATATTTTACAAAAAAAATGAATAGTTTTTTTTTTTAGTCGAATACCAGTTTTCATTAAAATTATTTTTGTATAGATATAATAATACCATAAAACATACCTACTAGTACAATGTATGCTACTTTACAACTTTAGTCATATAACTAAAGTGCCTTTATATATTTAACCATTAATATTTTATGCATTCAACTTGCGTTTTAAATTTGATTTCTAACTTATCTTTTTACACAAAAGCCATCGGTTTATTTGCCATACATTATAACATACAGTATTTTACAACTATTTGTATAGTTTTATTTTTTCTTATCGAAAACATGTTGTTTCTTACAACATCTGTTGCCATGTAAATTAAAAACAAAAAAACTGTAACTAATTTGTGGCTATAAAGTTTTAGTACGTGTTTAGATATATTTCAAACACAAATAATAATTTGAATTATTATTATTGATCATATTTTTTCAATTATAGTTATGTTAGAATCCTAATTAGTTTTATATAATAGTTCAACCCAGAATCTAAGATATCTGATCTAATACGCTTTACATATAATAAAATTACATGCAGCCCCACGTAGAAACTAATAAATATATAAGTATTTATTATTATATATTAAAAAAATTAAATGTACCTATATTATTTTTTTGTTCAATGAAAATAAAAAATTGTGACTTCTTTAATTTAATTGGGAGTTTTTAAATTCTTATTTAATCATTTTCCATAATCTAAAGATTTATTTATAAGCCGTACAAAGTATCGAATTTTTTTTTTTCGATAGTTAAAAAGTTTAATTAAAAGACACTCAAAATTTTAATTTTCTCAAGTGGTATTACAATAGGCATTCTTAGTGAGTCAGCCAATAAAAGTCTCTAAAATAATAAAAAATTTAATAACTATTGGGAATAATATAAAATATAATCGATATAATTGAAATGTTTTCAATAATATTATTATGGGTTCTATATAACACATTTTTTTATGATAAAAACATGCTATTGTGTTTATGCACTATTCGCAAATATCGAGCAAAAATATGTTTACAACGCAAACACTTTGTTTTTACAAAAAATTGTAATATATCGTATTGAGTCATACCTGTAAGTAGGCTACACGTGTCTATTCTTACAGACTTTATAAAATTGATTAAAATTCAATTTTAAAGAATTCTCTAAAGGTTATAAAACCCTATACCCGCTAATGTATAATATTAAGTTAAACGTTCCCTGAAGTATTATATTATGTTAAAAGTTGAAAAGTTATCACTACTAGCACTCATTAATATATAAAATAAAGAAATACATTTTAACTTAAACAAAGGGCTCCAAAAAATGTTTTCAACAAATAATAGAACACATCCTTATTAGCTACAACCAGTATCTTCAAGGATCTTGAATAATCAAAAATTACCAATGAAATCTAATCTAAAATTTTATTTCAAATGACGACAAATTATTTTCTTAAATTACAATACACAGTAGTTTTCCACAATTAATTTACATAACCTTGTTTGAAAAGGATTTAGTCTGATGTGCTGACTTTTTATCGGTTAAATTATCAAATATTCTATTCTGTGTTGTAGCCACTGACCACAGTACAATACTCATCATAATAAAATAACTTGAAATACAAAGCTAAAATATCATACCCTCTAGTTATATTATAAAAACAATTATGGTTCATATTTTGAATATTACTAGATATCTTGTATTATAATATTCTAGTTAATACATTTTATCGTCATTGTGTTTATACGTTCAGATTCCCTTATTATCTTATATCACATAATGTACGTTTAAAAGCACTTTTTTTTAAAAAAACCACAAATAAATCTATCAAAGATACAATGTAAAATATGACAGCTCATATTATGTTAAAACTTCAGCTGTATAAGACCAACATGTATTTGTCATTTGTTTACATTGCGAAAATTATGATATTTTATGGAATTTGTACAACACAAATATTAATTTACCAAAAATTTAAAATTCAACTTTAAATATAGGTAAATGATTTAATACAGGGTGGGGGTTATGGGATCTAAATCACTTCACTTACGTACTTGTATATTTGAAGTGATTTTTTTTTCTAGCCCTCTTTTTTTCATTTCTACATCTGCCTGAATGTAATTATATGTCTTAAGTGGTGAAACAACATTAATTAATAAAGACATTTTAACCAAAAATCCGAGTTGAATTTATAAGATATTAGTGATTAGACATTTATGGGTGTTTGCTATAATAATTGTAACATCAAGGTAAAATTATTTCGTATATAAGTAAGAAAGTATAAATTCAATATATATATATATTTGTGTGTATTTTTATTCCTCCAGAAAAGCAGTAAACTCCACCAAATCCAAAAAAAGTTTCATCTCAGCTGCCCGTCTCGCTACGGCTTTTATTTAAAATTATTATTAAAAGCCGCTATCAAAGGCTATTGGGTGAATTTTAGCAAACACATTTTTCATAGTACATGGAAACAGGACGATTTTTGGGGAAAATCCAATTACCATGTAAGTTTTTAAAAATATTGTTTAGGTATTAAGTTATTATGGTTTTCTACTTTAGTTTTGTATCAATAATCATAAATCAATTAAAAAATAAGAAGGATAAAAAAAACATATGTTTTTTAATATTCTTCCTTATTGGTGAATTTATAAAATATAATTATTGATAAAGTTAGTAAGTATAAATTTAACAGGCAAATTCAATACGATATGTTATTCCTTTTAAATTAGGTCAATTGTAATACAATTTGAAATATATTTTTTCTTGTAGCTTACATGCATAGCTTTTGTTGGTAGTATAAAACGCGTAACCGTGTTTTTTTGTTTCTTTATTTGTTCTTGACAATTGAGTACATGATAATGCTTTGGTAAAATATACATATTTAAAAACACCTAT